AGTCCAACACGTGGGATAGGTCGGCATGATACTTCTGAAACATCGAAACATGAAAGACTGGGTGAACTCCTGATAAACTAGGGGGCAAGGCAAGCTCATAAGCCACCTCCCCAACTCTGCTCAACACCTCAAAGGGGCCAATAAACCTTGGGCTCAACTTGCCCTTCTTCCCGAACCTCATAATGCCCTTCATGGGCGAGACTTTCAAGAGAACCTTCTCGCCCACCATAAATGATACATCCCGTGCCTTCTGATCCGCGTAGCTCTTTTTTCTAGACTGAGCTGTGCGAAGCCTCTCCTGAATCAACTTTACCTTATCCAAGGCATCCTGTACTAAATCTATGCCAAGTATCTTAGCCTCACCAGGCTCGAACCACCCGATAGGAGAACGACAACGCCTACCATATAAAGCCTCGTACGGGGCCATCTCTATGTTGGACTAGTAGCTGTTATTGTATGCAAACTCCGCTAAGGGCAAGAACTGATCCGACTGCCCTCCAAAATCAATCGCGCATGCTCTAAGCATATCCTCCAAAATCTGTACCGTCTGCTCCGACTGTCCGTCGGTCTGAGGATGGAATGTTGTGCTAAGCTCTACACAAGTCCCAACTCACTCTGCAAGGCTCTCCAGAAATGGGAAGTAAACTGAGGGCCTCTGTCTGATATGATGGACACCGGCACACCATGCAACCGGACTATCTCCCGAATATAGATCTGAGCATACCTCTCCGCTGTATAAGTAGTCGCCACTGGAATGAAATGGGCCGACTTGGTCAATCTATCCACAATGACCCACACCGAATCAACCTTTCGCAAAGTCCGCGGTAGCCCAACTGCGAAGTCCATGGTGATGCGTTCCCACTTCCACTCTGGGATGGGCATCTGCTGAAGTAGGCCACCTGGCCTCTGATGCTCATACTTGACCTGCTGGCAATTCAAACACTTAGTCACATACTTCACTATGTCCTTCTTCATCCCCCGCCACCAGTAATGCTGCCTCAGATCCCGATACATCTTCGTGACTCCCTGGTGAATAGAATACCGCAAACTATGTGCCTCCTCCAGGATCCTCTCCCTCAGACCATCAACATTAGGAACACATAGACGACCCTGGAGTCGCAGAACACCATCCTCGCCTATAGAAACCTACTTGGTACCTCCCTGAAGTACCGTATCTCTGAGAACCGCCAAATGGGGATCATCATACTATCAGGCCCTAATCTCCCCCAATAACGAGGGCTGAGCAACCACACATGCTAGAACTCGGCTGGACTCTGAAATGTCCAACCTCACAAGCCTGTTAGCTAAGGACTGGATGTCCAGAGCTAGGGGCCTCTCCTCCGCTGGAATGAATGCCAAGCTACCCATGCTCTCCGCCTTTCTGCTCAAGGCATCCGCGACCACATTCGCCTTGCCCGGATGATAAAGAATGGTAATGTCATAGCCTTCAGTAACTCAAGCCACCTGCGCTGTCTCAAATTGAGATCCCTCTGCTTGAACAAATGCTGTAAGCTGCGATGATCGGTGTAAACCTCACAAGGCACCCCATACAAATAGTGCCTCCATATCTTAAGAGCATGAACAATCGCTGCTATCTCCAGATCGTGCACAGGGTAATTTTTCTCATGAATCTTCAGCTGACGCGAGGCATAAGCAATAACTCTCCCCTCCTGCATCAACACACATCCCAAACCAACGCGTGAGGTGTTGCAATACACAGTATACATCCCCGTACCGGAAGGCAATACAAGAACTGGTGCCGCAGTCAAAGCTGCCTTGTGCTTCTGAAAGCTCTCCTCGGAATCATCGGACCAAATGAATGGGGCACCCTTCTGGGTCAGTCTAGTCAAGGGTGAGGCAATGGATGAAAAACCCTACACAAATCGCCGGTAATAACCCGCTAATCCCAAGAAACTCCTGATCTCGGTCACTGAAGTGGGTCGTGGCCAACTCTGAACTGCCTCAATCTTCTTGGGATCTACCTTAATACCCTCTCCGAACACAATATGCCCCAAGAATGCCACTGACTCAAGCCAAAACTCGCACTTGGAGAACTTAGCATACAACTTCTGCTCTCGCAAGGTCTGAAGCACTACTCTCAAATGCTGCTCGTGCTCCCCCAGGCTACGTGAGTATATCAAGATGTCGTCAATGAAGACGATAACAAAGGAATCAATATAAGGCCTGAATACCCTGTTCATCAGATCCATAAATGCTGCTGGTGCATTGGTCAAGCCAAAGGACATCACTAGGAACTCATAATGGCCATATCTAGTCCGAAATGCAGTCTTCGGAACATCCGAGTCCCGAATCTTCAGCTGATGATACCCTGACCTCAGGTCAATCTTAGAGAACACCCTAGCACCCTGTAGCTGGTCAAACAAATCATCAATACGAGGCAACGGGTACTTGTTCTTGATGGTGACTTTGTTCAACTGGCGGTAATCAATGCACATCCGCATAGTCCCATCCTTCTTCTTCACAAATAGCACTGGTGCGCCCCAAGGCGACACACTGGGCCTGATAAACCCCTTTGCTAATAACTCCTCTAGCTGCTCCTTCAACTCCTTCAACTCTTTAGGAGCCATACGGTACGGTGGAATAGATATAGGCTGAGTGCCCGGGGCCAAATCAATGCAGAAATCAATATCACGATCCGGAGGCATACCAGGAAGATCAGAAGGAAATACATCGGCGAACTCTCGGACTACTGGCACTGAATCAATCGTCGGAGACTCTGCGGTGGTGTCTCGAACATAAGCCAAGTAAGCCAAACACCCCTTTGCAACCATGTGCTGAGCCTTCAGGAAGGAGATAACCCTGCTAGGCATATCAACTGTGGACCCCTTCCACTCCAATCTCGGCAACCCTGGCATGGCTAGTGAGACTGTCTTGGCATGGCAATCAAGGACGGCGTGATACGGTGACAGCCAATCCATGCCCAAGATGACCTCAAAATCGATCATGTCCAGCAACAGAAGATCTGCTCTAGTCTCGAAACCACAGAAAGTGACCACACAGGACCGGTAAATCCGATCCACAATCACAGAATCGCCCACAGGAGTGGACACATGAACAGGAACACCCAAAGGCTCAGGAGGAACAACCAGAAAGCGAGCAAACAGAGACGATACATATGAATAAGTAGACCCTGGGTCAAATAATACCGAAGCATCCCTGCCACCAATGGAAATAATACCTGTGATGATGGCGTCTGAGGCCAATGCATCTGGCCTGGCTGGAAGAGCATAGAATCTGGCTGAACCTGGCCCCCACCTGGCAGGGAGTAACTGGCTGACCTCTCCCTGTCTGGCCTCCACCTCTAGGCCGGCCCCTACCCGTCTGCCCTCCACCTCTAGGTGGCTGGGTCGCTGGTGCCGGAGTCTGGGGCTGCTGGTCCTGCTGTACTGCCTTACCCCGAAGTCTGGGGCAAGTCCTCTTCAGGTGACCCGGATCTCCACACTCGTAGCACGCTCTAGGCACCATGGCCTGCTGCCCTGGAGTCTGAGTCTGCTGACCTGAATACCCACCGGAGGAACCCTGAGTAGCTGGCGGGCGGTAGGAAGTCTCTGGCATAGCACTGAAATAGGGGCGTGCTAGAGGCCCCCGAGCAGGTGGTGGTGCTGAAACTGGTGGCCTACTAGACTGGCCCCTCCCAAACTGACCTCTGCCCCTAGTTGGGGCACCTCTAAACTCGCCGGAGAACCTAGCTCTCTTATCCTGCTGTATCTGCTCTTTTCCCCTCTGGCGATACCCCTCAATCCGACGAGCAATCTCGACTACTAGCTGATACCCTGTGCCCATCTCTACCTCTCGAGCCATACTGAACCGAATCTCGGGCTGCAACCCTACGACAAACCTCCGCACCTTCTCTGCATCTGTAGGAAGTATCATGAGTGCATGGCGGGACAACTCAGAGAACCTCGCCTCGTAGTCGGTCACAGACATTTGTCCCTGCTCGAGCTGCTCAAACTGGTACCGCAGCTCCTCCCTCTCAGAGGGTGGAATATATCTGTCCAATACAACCCAAAAATAGATTTTTCGAATTAAAGATAAGACCAGTAAAGATCATAATGTATCAAAATAACAATACAACCCAAAAATAAATGTCTACTACTGTGTGTGCCAGAACCTGGTGTCACGAGCTACGGGCGACTAGTAGAATATACACAAAAGAATAATTTACTATCCTACTGTCTAAATCAGGATAGACAGAAAACAAAAGTACAAAGAAGGACTTCATCGGCTGCGGATCGGCATGAAAGAGAAGCAGCTCACCGTAGAAGTCCCAAGCGTGCTAACTAATGCGCACCAGAATGATGTCCAGATCCACCTGCCTCAAATCCTGTACATTTAAGTACAGAAGCGTAGCATGAGTACATAAACAACATGTACCCAGTGAGTATCCCGTCTAATCTCGAAGAAGTAGAGACGAGAGGTCGACTTGATACTCACTAGGGTCAAATAATATTTTAAGTATGATTTCAACAATAAAGAAGTATTCGATGCACAACAGTTTACAACAGATATGAAATTCATAGCCTCATTAAAATCCTGGCAAGTCAGGTTCTATAGTTACATTTATCAATTCATTTTAGCCTAATGAAGGCAATATCAACATTTAACATTCTCAGGCAAGCTATATAAGCATGCGCAAATATGCCGAGGCGACGTCCCGAACCAACAGAAATAAACTGTGCACTTGCCGAGGGTCGACGGCGCGCCTATAGATGCATCTATTACCCCGCTCGTGAATCATCCATGCGACGTGGTCAAATATAAATAAGTTCATAGTCAAGCAACAACAACAATCAATACGCATATGAGGGTGACTATACAAAGAGATGCCAATTATTTCCTTTTTAAAGTGCCAATGGATTTAGGTCATTTTCCAATCCTTTCTTCTTTGTCACACGGGTTCATATAAATCCAAGATAATCAATTATACTAGAAAATCACGTAAAGCATGCTCATGGGTCCTAAGCTACCCGGACTTAGCACTAATAGTTGCTACGCANCGGATCTCCACACTCGTAGCACGCTCTAGGCACCATGGCCTGCTGCCCTGGAGTCTGAGTCTGCTGACCCGAATACCCACCGGAGGAACCCTGAGTAGCTAGCGGGCGGTAGGAAGTCTCTGGCATAGCACTGAAATATCCCCATGGGGAATATTCAGAATAAGAGGGGAATAGTGCACATCCTGGGAATGCTACCGCATAGCTCTAGACTTTGCGGTCACACAGCAAATGAAAGACAAAGAAAAAGAGGTAGAGCAATCAACAAGGTCGAGACCGAACGAGGACGTCATCAAAGATCCCGATGCGGTCAAAACCGCTGAATCAACCATAGAAGACTTCGACCCCGTCCAATTAGATGGAAACAATCTCAGCAAAAAAGCTTACATCGGCTGCAAGCTCCAAGAACCATGTAAGTTTCATCAATTCTTAACTACTAACGCGGACTTCTTCGCTTTTAGCCATGCAGATATGCCGGGTATCCTGAAAGAAATCGCCGCGCACAAGCTGAACGTCGACCCATTCCAACCCCCGGTGAGGCAGGTTAGACGTAAGTTAAACTCCGCAANGCAATCAAGGACGGCGTGATATGGTGACAGCCAATCCATGCCCAAGATGACCTCAAAATCGATCATGTCTAGCAACAAAAGATCTGCTCTAGTCTCGAAACCACAGAAAGTGACCACACAGGACCGGTAAATCCGATCCACAATCACAGATTCGCCCACAGGAGTGGACACATGAACAGGAACACCCAAAGGCTCAGGAGGAGCAACCAGAAAGCGAGCAAACAGAGACGATACATATGAATAAGTAGACCCTGGGTCAAATAATACCGAAGCATCCCTGCCACCAACGGAAATAATACCTGTGATGACGACGTCTGAGGCTAATGCATCTGGCCTGGCTGGAAGAGCATAGAATCTGACTGAAGCGCCGGCTGCCTGGCCCCCACCTGGCTGGGGAGTAACTGGCTGACCTCTCCCTTTCTGGCCTCCACCTCTAGGCCGGCCCCTACCCGTCTGCCCTCCACCTCTAGGTGGCTGGGTCGCTGGTGCCGGAGTCTGGGGCTGCTGGTCCTGCTGTACTGCCTTACCCCGAAGTCTGGGGCAAGTCCTCTTCAGGTGACCCGGATCTCCACACTCGTAGCACGCTCTAGGCACCATGGCCTGCTGCCCTGGAGTCTGAGTCTGCTGACCCGAATACCCACCGGAGGAACCCTGAGTAGCTAGCGGGCGGTAGGAAGTCTCTGGCATAGCACTGAAATAGGGGCGTGCTGGAGGCCCCCGAGCAGGTGGTGGTGCTGAAATTGGTGCCCTACTAGACTGGCCCCTCCCAAGCTGGCCTCTGCCCCTCGCTGGGGCACCCCTGAATTCACCGGAGAACCTAGCCCTCTTATCCTGCTGTATCTGCTCTCTACCCCTCTGGCGATACCCCTCAATCCGGTGAGCAATCTCAACCACTAGCTGATACCCTGTGCCCATCTCCACCTCTCGAGCCATACTAAACCGAATCCCTGGCTGCAACCCCGTGACAAACCTCCGCACCCGCTCTGCATCCGTAGGAAGTATCATGAGGGCATGGCGGGACAACTCCAAAAACCTCGCCTCATAGTCAGTCACAGACATCTGACCCTGCTCGAGCTGCTTAAACTGGTACCGCAGCTCCTCCCTCTCAGAGGGCGGAATGTATTTGTCCAAGAATAACTGCACGAACTCACCCCAAGTTATGGGAGGGGAACCCGCTGGCCTGTAAAGAAAATAGGACTGCCACCACCTACGGGCCCTGCCCTCTAGCTGAAAAGTAGTGAAGTCAACACTATGCGACTCCAATATCCTCATGTTGTGCAGCCTGTCCCTGCACCGGTCAATGAAGTCCTGGGCATCCTCATGACGCTCACCCCCGAATACCGGGGGGTGAAGCCTTGTCCATCTGTCTAATAGCTTCTGCGGGTCACCATCCATAGCTGGCCTGGGCTGGAGTGCCACTGCAGCAACTGGCTGAGCCCCATCTGCGGGTAGTGCACACAGAGTCTTATATACTGCAGCTGCATGGCCTGGGGCCTGAGTAGTAGGGGTTTGGGCCCCCCTCCTGCCTGGGAAGTGGCTGGGTCTGCTGGAAATAAACCAGCATGAGTCATAGTGTCCATGAACCGTAGCATGCGGCCCATGACCTCCTGAAATCCCGGTGCTGTCATGAAATCCGTCGGGGTAGGCTCAGCTGCGGGCACCTCGCCCTGCTCCTCAATAATAGGGTCCCCCACAGGATCTGCCGGTGGTGTAACTGGAATGGCTCTGGGACGCCCTCGCCCCCTACCACGGGCTGGTGCCCTCCCCCGACCTCTACCTCGGCCTCTAGCAATGGGGGGAGCAGCTCCTCCCGGGTCCGGAACGTCGGCGGTACGAGTTCTCACCATCTCTGAGAGAATAGAAGAGGGAAATTTAGTACTCTCAGCACTGCACGACAAGAAATGAATAAAGAGTAGTCTTTCCTAATACCCTATAGCCTCTCGAAGATAAATACAAACGTCTCCGTACTGATCAACAAGACTCTACCAGGTTTTCCCATAACTCGTGAGACCTACGTGAACCTAGTGCTTTGATACCATGTTGTCACGACCCATTTTTTCTTCATAGCAATAGGCCGTGAGGGCGCCTGACACCCGTGCCAGGCAAGCCATTTCGAAATATTACTATTTTGCTTATGTTACTTTTAATTAGAATTACACGGAGTAAACACTCAACTTGGAAATTTAACCCAAAAGAGATAAAAACTACGATAGAGTAATTACACAACCCCAAAAATGATCATCTACTAAAGTGTGTGCCAGAACCTGGTGTCACAAGCTACGGGCAGCTAGTAGAATATACAATCAAAAGAATATCATCTATCCTACTGTCTGAGTCTAAATAGACAGAAATAGAAATACAAAAGAGAGACTTCTTCGGCTACGGATCGACAATGAAGGGAGAAGCAGCTCACCATAGAAGTCCCACGCCTGCTCACGACTGCGCACCAGAGAAATGACCAGATCCACCTGCCTCAAACCCTGTACATTTAAGTACAGAAGCGTAGCATGAGTACATAAATAATATGTACCCAGTGAGTATCCCGTCTAATCTCGAAGAAGTAGAGACGAGAGGTCGACTTGATACTCACTAGGGTCAAATAATATTTTAAGTATGATTTCAACAATAAAGAAGTATTCGATGCACAACAGTTTACAACAGATATGTAATTCATAACCTCACTAAAATCCTGGCAAGTCAAGTTCTATAGTTACATTTATCAATTCATTTTAGCCTATGGAAGGCAATATCAACATTTAACATTCTCAGGCAAAGCTATATAAGCATGCGCAAATATGCCAAGGCGACGGCCCGAACCAACAGAAATAAACTGTGCACATGCCGAGGGTCGACGGTGCGCCTATAGATGCATCTATTACCCCGCTCGCAAATCATCCATGCGACGTGGTCAAATATAAATAAGTTCATAGTCAAGCAACAACAACAATCAATACGCATATGAGGGTGACTATACAAAGAGATGCCAATTATTTCCTTTTTAAAGTGCCAATGGATTTAGTTCATTTTCCAATCCTTTCTTCTTTGTCACACGGGTTCATATAAATCCAAGATAATAAATTATACTAGAAAATCACGTAAAGCATGCTCATGGGTCCTAAACTACCCGTACTTAGCATAATAGTTGCTACACACGGACTCTCGTCACCTAGTATGTACATAGCCCCCGAATACAATGGCAACTACTTCAATTATTAAACCTATGGGGACATTTCCCTCTTACAAGGTTAGAAAGGAGACTCACCTCGCTCCAAAGCGCGCTCCCGATATCAAGAACAAGTGCAAGCTCCTAATTCGAAGCCGAACGATCGCAAACTAGTTAAAATAGGCAAGAACTAGTCAATAAAGGCTTAAAAGGCCGAATTCTAACTATTTAAGTAATTTCCCAACCTTTCCCACAAGTTTCCTAAATTCCGACCCCGAGCCCACGCGCCCGGATTCCGATATTTTTCGAAGGAAATTGTTCTCTACAACCTAAGGATCAATAATATATGATTTCTAGTCCATTTTATAACAAATTCCATGCTTAAATCTTAGTTTTTGCTAAAACCATAGGTCTAGCTCTAACCCTTGATTTTTACCAAATTTTAGTGTCAATCTACCTAATGCTCATGTAATTTAACTTATAATGGAAGGAGATTACTTACCTTGCAATAATATGCTGAAACCCTCTCTTTGGAACCACCAAAATCGCCTAAGTGTAGAGTGAAAAATGATAAAATGAGGTTTGAGTTCGTATTAAATGAAGGGTCTGCTCCCAGCTATGTCCGCTTCTGCGGTTTTGGGCCACTTTTGCGGTCTTGGCCCAAATTGGCTGGACCGCTTCTGCGGTCATATAGCCGCTTAAGCGGGACCGCTTCTGCGGTCTCAAGATCGCATCTGCGATTTTGCCTGAGCTGCCCCTGACCGCTTCTGCGGATTCCGGACCGCATCTGCGGTACCGCTTCTGCGGTCCTAGAACCGCAGATGCGGTTATGACAGAAGCAGCAGACTCAGCACTTTCTAAGTTTTTCTACTTCGCTCGAACCTCGATTATTTGACGCTCGGGGCTCCCGAGCCCCGCCCGAACATACCGACAAGTCTGAAATCATGAGGCGGACCTACTCGAATCCTCGGAACTCCCAAAACAACGCTAAATCTTAGAATCACCCCCTAAAACTAAATGAATCAAACTATTGAATCCTTAAGTTCTAAATTCTCCTCTAACAGGTCAAAACGCCCTTAAACTACTCGGATTGACACCAAATTTTATGGGCAAGTCTTAAATGACCTTACGGACCTGTACCAAGCTTCGGAGCCAAAATCCGAGCCCGATACCTATGGAATCAATGATTACTTAGTTTCTTTAATTCCTTAAAGCTTCAATTAAACAATTTTAGATAAAAATTCATTACTCGGGCTAGGGACCTCGGATTCGATTCCGGGCATACGCCCAGGTCCCATATTTTCCCAGGGACCCTCAGAAATTGCCAAATCTCGAATCCGGGTCCGTTTTCCCAAAATGTTGACCGAAGTCAAACTTGGTCTTTCTAAGAAATCTAAAAGAAGCAAATGGGCATATTTTTACTCAAAACTCTTCCAATCCCCGAACCAATCGCCCCCGCAAGTCGTAAATTAGATAAAGCAAGTACGGGAGGCTTTATTTAGGGGAATGGGGTTCAAAAGGGTGTAACGACCGGTCGGGTCGTTACAGAGGCCAAACCTATTGGCAAAAGAAACAGCATGCAATAGTAGCACAAAGTTCAGTAGATAGCAAACATTCGAAGCATAATACTCAAGTAGGTCAAGTCACATTGAATTAATAGTGAAGAAAAAATAGAGTATCAGAAGCATGCAAAGGGTCTCACAGTAACAGATGAGAGACCTTTTGAAAACTTAGGGTTTCAAGCATAGTCGAGTTTTAAAGATAGTAAAAACCCAGAATCAGAGGACTCACATAAAGGAAAGAGATTCTGAAACAAGGAACTTTCAAATCGAGTCAGGTATTCAAACAAACAGTTTCAAACCCAAAGACATAGGTTCCTTCAATACTAGTCAAACTTAAAAGATGATAATCAAATAAATCGAACAAGAACTTGGCCAAACAAGCACTTATCTAACAAACAGTTTCAGAACTCGAATGAACCCAAAGGAAATTAGGGTTTTCCACATCAATCGAGTTTAAAGATGATAAACAAATAAATCAAACAAACACTTAGCAAACAGCTTCAGAAACTCGAATGAACCCAAAAGAAATTAGGTTTTTTAACATGCTAAACTCAGATAGGAGAATAACATGAACAAAACATAGTAAAATCACAGACACATTAAAATCAGAGAAAAGATTTTGAAAAGAAAAACTTGAAGGAAAACCCTAATGGAAAAGATGAAGAGTCTTTTTTGAAAGCAAAGTTAAAGAAGCTTCGAGAAGATGCTTAAAAGTTCATGACAAGCATAATCTAAGGTAGATCTGAAAGAAATTGAATAAGTCTTAGAGATTAGGGTTTCAGAAAAACCCAAAAGCAACGAGACAGGCCTTGAAAGTTACCGATCTAACTAGGAGAGTCAAAGATCTGGCTCGAATGGTCATGGCTGGCCGGAGAAAGGTCAGGGATGACCGGAGAAAGGCCATCGAGCAAGGACTGGACCAAATCCCTTCAAAGTCTGGTCATGAGACCACAGAACCAAACACATAGAAGCCATGGAAGGCTGGTATAGGTCTCAGATGACCTCAGAAGGCCATGGATTAAGGTGGATTAGGGTAGCGGCGGCTAGGGTTTGGGGGTGTTGCAGAGAGTGTTTTAGAGAGGAGGGATTCAGAGGCGGCGTATGGTGAGAAATGATAGGGTTTAGGGGTCGTTTAGAATTAATTAAGGCAAGGATAATTTTTGGTCGTTGATCTGAATGATCAACGGCCTGGATTTAAATGGGTAAGTAGGGATGCGGGCATGGGTCGATTTGATTGTAATTGGGTCGGGGTTAAATAGAAATTGGGCCGGGCTAATTGGGATTCAAATTGGGGTCAAACTTAGGCTACAATCGAAATGAAATTGGGCTAACATTTAAATAGCCAATTTTGCCTATTTGATTTATAAAAAATAAAAAATAATTTCTGGAAATAAATTAAAGGTACTAAAATGATTTATAGCACATAATTAACTACTTAAAAATACCAGAATTAATTTTATGAATATAAACGCAGTTAAATCTTAAAAGAGGCTAATATTGCAATTATATGCAATTTAGCTTTAAAAATACTAAATAAATTTGTAAAAATATGCAAAAATTCGCTTGGCTATATTTTAGCATAGATATAAAAGTGCAATAAGTGGATCACCAAAATGATAATTTTTCGAAACAATTACTGGATTTTTACCGATAAAAATAGGAGAATAAATAGATTTAAAAATCTTTTAAAATTAAGGAAAAGTAATGAAGCACTTGGACATATGCATGTATGCATACATATACAATTTTGAAGTCATTTTGCATATTGAAAATATATAGGAAAAAATTGGGTGTCAACAGCTGCCCCTCTTTACCCGAGAA